TTTCCGGAAATATTGCCGTCGAAGTATTACTCGAATGACTGGCAAAATTATAGTTATCTCGTTTGGACGCTAAAAAATTTATCTTGTTGTTCAATGTTGAAATTTCAATGCCGTGCATGTCTATTGCATTAACAATTTTTACCTGTTGAGCGTACAACATTTCTTTAATTTCGTTTTTCAGATTTTTGAAATTAACTTTAATTATATTGTCAAGATTAGGAACTTTAGCCAGATTAACACTAGCAAATAACGAACATTTTTCTAAAACACTGTTATTTTTCAAGTATTTCAAAATTGAGACACAATCTAGGAGTTTTTCATTTTTTTGTATTGCCACGACCAACTAACTTGTCTAATTTATCCAAATTTTGAGTTTCCAATTCAGTTTTCAAGGTTTTCAAAGCAGATATGAAGTCTTCATTAGTATAAAAGTCAGACGTGTTAGCAATAAAATTATCATTATCAAATAAATCAAAGTTATTTGACAAAAAGTACAGGACTTCGTTAGCAACGACCTGTCTTGTCGCCATTTTGTAAACAATGTATGTATGTATGTATGTATGTATGTATGTATGTATGTATGTATGTATGTATGTATGTATGTATGTATGTATGTATGTATGTATGTATGTATGTATGTATGTATGTATGTATGTATGTATGTATGTATGTATGTATGTATGTATGTATGTATGTATGTATGTATGTATGTATGTATGTATGTATGTATGTATGTATGTATGTATGTATGAATGTATGCATGTATGCATGTAAGTATGTATGTATGTGCGTATGTAGGTATGTATATATGTATGTACTCTTACTTTTGAACTATATTTGGTTTCATATCATTTAATTTATTGAAATGCTATAGAATCCTAAATTCAAAACTTTAATTTTATGTACTCATTTTGAACTATATCTCTGTTTCATAAGATTAATAGAATAGAATCTGCAGTTCAATAACTTTTGATTTATTTCGATCTAGTTTAATCCTTGATTTTTGTCGAACAATTTTAATTTTTGATTTTTGTTGATCAATGTTGATTTTATTTGGATAGGGTGACTTTCTTACAAGCATTTGGTTGCTTTTTTAGTTTACCCCTCTTTTGAGAAAATAAACGAATTAAAATTGAAATTGAAATAGGTAATCTTAGTTCTTTTAACAAACTATTAATCGAAATTAGATTGTCAATAAATAAATGAATAAATCAATTAACTGCAATGAAACATATCAATGATTTTTAATTTAGTGGTTGACGTGTATCAAGATTGGTGCGGTCCATGCAAGGCCATGGTACCAATTTTTAAAAGAATAAAAAACGAGACTCAGGATGACCTACTGAGGTTTGCAACGGTACGTCTAGAAAGATTCTTTTGTATCATTAGCTCTTTACTCTAATAAGGTCAGAACAACATTTTGTGGTTATAAACGTAAAGAAGGCCAATGTGAATATGCAATTGTAACAGGGAGAAATTGAAAGAGATTATGACATTATGTGGCACTTGATAAATTTGAGTATAGCTTATTTATTTGTTGGCACTGAATGTCTCAGACATCATGTTTATTCTATAAAAAAAATAAATATAATCAAAAAGATAAAAAACTTTAAATGCTTGAAATAAATAATCTTCAGTTGATAACAAATAATTGGCTTTTTAGTTTAAAAAACAAACATGTTTTGTTGAACATTATAATTTATCACTATCTTTATTTCAACTAATTAGGAAGTTTAAGTTCATTCCTCAGAATTACATCACTAAAAATTAATGGCAGAAATAAAAATACTACAAATAATTTTTTTTTTGTACAACAGGCAAAAGCTGATTCGGTGGAAGCCCTTGAAAGGTACAGAGGCAGATGTGAGCCTGCATTTCTCTTTTATGCTGTGAGTCTTGTGTATGCTACTTATTTTTAAATTTCACTTTATGTGTCTGCTGTTTAGTTCAGGTAGCAATAGTCCTGCAGTTCATGTTCTGATGTTTAAATTTCCTTGAATATTATAAACTTAGTAAAATTTTTTGATATAACGAATTTTTCTGTCATTTTACACCATCTTCGATTTTGCCTGTGTCACAAAATTACCAAAAACAAAAACATACTTAAGTTTTTTTAATTTCAATGGCAAATTAATTAAACTGATCAATTTAATAATTTTAAAAAATTTGATTTTATGGGTTTTTGGCTCACAATTTATAACAATAAGTTAGAGATTTTATTCAAGTTGTTGTTGTGTTGAATGTTGCTGGTATGTTGAATGTTGATGTGTTGAATGTTGAATGTTAATATGTTGGTATGTTGAATGTTGATGTCTTGATAGTTGATGTCTTGAATGTTGACTAAAGGGTGGAGTGCTTGTGGAAGCGACTCATGGAGCTGATGCGCCGACAATCAACCGATCCATCGTAGAACAACTTGCCATTGAACACACCGTCCTGGATGCTGGAGGAACCAGAGTGGAGGTGGTGTTGATGGCAGTGATGATGTCATACATGTCATGTGAGAGTGCGTAATTGTAATGATGAGTGCCATCACAATCATTGTACAAAATCTTGAGTAAGATTTTATTGAAAACGCAATTCACACAAAGTAAACTTCAAATCGTGAGTAAGAAAGAAATTTTTGTTTGATATTATTATCAAAATATTGGTAATAGGCAGCTTTAAGTTTAAAAAAACTTTAGTTGAAGTTTTAGTTGTTGAATTTGAATATAGACGTCATTTCCATGAAGTAACTTGAGAATTTACATCAGATAAATGTCATTGTCGTACCTGGGTATCTGGAGGCAGTGATGTTGCTGAAGTCGGAAACCTTTTAAACTTTCAAGTATCTGAGGCAATTTATTCAACCAGTTCCTGCAGCCGCGAACTGGAATCAAATGAGATTTCTCGATAATTGGGATCTCGTCTTTCCAAAATGTTGATCTTTCTTCTTTGGAAAAGGACCTTTCTTCTTTCATTTTTTTCATTTATCCACATCTGGATGTTCTACCAACTAGTTCCAACAGCACAAACAACCCTACATGTTTCCAAGAGACGTACAAAGATTCATTTGTTTTGTTAGACGATCGTAGAAAGCCGGTGCTTTTGAAAACTAATCCATTGACAGAACTCAACAGAACGAGATGAAATCTCCAGGGGCACCGAATAGATTTACGATAACGTTAATTTTAATCGCTCGTTGCGATAAATTCATGAGTAAAATATTGAAATTTTTTTATAAAGATAAATTGTATGTAGACTTTACGTGACTATAATAATATGAAAGTTCGCTGCGTAATAATGAATGAAGGTGGTGGACAGGATGTTTCCAGTTGTGAAGAAGCAGACGACAATGAAAGATGCCCAATTCGATGACATGATGGATAAGGATGAAGACGATGATGACGACCTCTCAACTGATGATGAAGCTGAAGATGCCAAAAGAAGTTTGTTGTTGTTGTAGCTGTTATGGCTGTTGTTGTTTTGTCATTTGAAGTTTGTTGTTTTTGTCGTTGATGTTGTTGTTGTTGTGATGTCGTTGAAATTTATTGTTGTGGCTGTTGTTGTTTATTGTGATTTTGTTTGAAGTACGCTGTTGTTATTGTTAAAAATTTATTGTTGTTGTTTTGTTGTGATATCATTTGAAGTTTGTTGTTTGTCGTCGTCTTCATCATCATCATCATCATCATCATCAAAGTTTTAGTACATTTATGTGCTATTGATCGTATTTATTTTAATATATCGTTAACTCAAGAGTATGAAGGACCTAAATACTGTTTACTTCGTGACCTCCAACTTTTATTTATTCGAAATAAAACACTATTGTCGTTTCTTCACTGTTTATGATGATATAGGTTAATTATAGATGATAATGATGATGGTGGCGGTGATGATGGCGGTGGTGATGATGATGATGATGACGACGACGAAAAAATAGGTGACATGAATTTTAATGGCGAAGAAGTGAGTTATGATCGTTTGCCAGAAACTTGCAATGAAGCATCTGACGGTAATGTAATGTGGTGACTAGATGACAGTTTCAAAATTAATATCTCGTCGTCCGCTCTCTATCACTCACTCTATAAATTTTAGTTACCCACCATTGATCTCAATTCGATGCACTGTCACCCTCACCTTAAATTTATCCCGATCTCTTGTGTATTAGTAGGTCTGAAAAGAATGCTTCTCTACTACCATATTTATGTATTCAAAATTTGAAGCAAAATTATCAAATATACATTTTACAAATTTAACTAGCTCTCTGATTATTATCTTTAAAGAATTTGATTTCCCTGCAAGAGTCAATGTGAATTTTTTTCAGTATATGATGACATTTTACATAGTAACAATTGCGCTAAAGTTCATAAACATTTAAGAAATCTCGAACAACCCTCACAGCCAGAATTGTATGTTACATGCTGATGCATGGCTGGGATATGACAGTTGAAATTAACTTTACGTTCGAACCTGCCTAGGTAGACGAAACTATCCGTTACATATCGTCCATCTTATATAAATAGATGACATCTTGTGGTGAGTAGCCACTTAAGTCAAATGATTGATTTGCTTTCACTTTTTTTCATCTTCTGTCACATATTTTGTCGTATCGAATAATTAGAATTTTGTAATAATTCACAATCACCGATTTGATTTTAACAAATAGTTAGTGGATTGATTGATTGGTTAATTAATTAATTAACTAATTATTTTTAAGAATTTTTGTGGCAGTACTAAATGATACATATTGATAAATAATGCTTTACTTAATTGTGAATTTTACGATTTAAATTCTGCCACAAACGACAGTGTTCATCGAGAAAGAGGTATCGGTCCTCATACTGACGTCCGCTGTTCACGACGAGAAGAAAGTTAAAGATGTTCAAGCCAAAGTTGGTGGTCTCTATTAAAACGCTGCATATTGCAAAGTTGAATTAAGCGACAAATTTGTTTGTGTGGTGATTAGTTGTTTGATAATCGGTTGTGTGATGATTGGTTGTTTTGTGATTGGTTGTTTAATGATTTGTTGTTTTGTGATTGGTCTTTTGATGATTAGCTGCTTGGTTATTGGTTGTTTTGTGATTGGCTGTGTGATGATTTGTTGTTTTGTGATTCGTCGTGTGATGATTTGTTGTTTGATGATTGGCTGTGTGATGCGCAACTGACCAGATAAAAGGTGCAGGCTTTGACGTTTTGTTCGAAGGAGCTGTGTCGATCTCACAAGACGATGCTTTTCATTACATCAGTTTATCCCGGTTCTTTCAGGTTCCATTTTTTATTTTGGGAATAATTTATTTTCTCATTATTATTGTCATATAATTATTTTCATCTTCGTCACTATCATTTCAATCTCTCGACAATCATCACCATCATCTTCATCATTTCTATTTCACAATCCTAATCACCACCACCGTCATCAACGTCTTCTGCTTGATCATCATCTAACGTCTCCTCATCATCACCATACTCATGCTCGTCCTCGCCCTCATCATGTTCATAATTTCCATCTTTCAATCATCATCGTCATCATTATTATCGTCATCGTTTTCTTCCTCTTCTCTTCCTCCTCCTCCTCCTTCTCCTTCTCCTCCTTATCATCATCGTCGTCCTCACCACCACCACCACCATCATCATCATCATGATGAAGAAGAGAGATAAAGTTGAAACGGAGGTTCTGGCAAAATTGCTGTCAACTGATGCCTCTTACATTATGGTCCTCACCAAAGGAGAGACAGGTAGGTGTTGATGATGATGATGATTACGGGGTGGTGATGATGATGGTGGGGTAGTGATGATGATGATGGGGTAGTGATGATGATGTGGTGACGATGATGGTGAAATGATGATGATGATAATGATGATAGAGTGATGACGATAATGACGATGAATTCATCATGAAGGTAAGAACGTTGTTCGAGATTTGAAGGAACTTGTGGGTCCGGAGTCCTTCAGTATGGCCATTGAGTTTGCACCGCTTAGGTCGGTTGTGATGATGATGACGATGATGAAGAAGATGATGATGATAATGATGAAGAAGAAGATGATGATGATAATGACGAAGAAGATGATGATGATAATGATGAAGAAGAAGATGATGATGATAATGACGAAGAAGAAGATGATGATAATGACGATGATGAAAAAGATGATGATAATGACGATGATGAAGAAAATGATGGTAATGATGATTGATACAGTGACCACGGCATGGAAAATTGATTTGATTGGCAAACTGATTGATGAGCTATCGCTCATTGATGGACTGACAGATTGATTGATTGGTTGGCTGTTTGATTGGCTGAGTTAATGGTCCATTGATTGGTTGATTGGCTAACTGATAGATTGGCTGACTGATTGATTGGTTGATTGGTTGATTGATTGGTTGATTGATTAGCTGATTGATTGGTTAATCATTGTTGATTGGTTATTGATACAGTTTACGTGCCATGGTGGGTATCAATAATGTTGCATTTTGTGGGGTCATCTGCGCTGAAGCTTTTGAAGATGCTCAGAGGTCAAATGATTCGTTGTGTGGTTGTGTTGGTGTGGTTGTCTATGGTTTTGTTGCTGTGTTGTTGCGTTGTTGCGATGTTTTGTTGTTGTGATATTAATTCATGAAGTTTTAATGTTGATTTGTTAGCGCATCATTTTATTGTATTGCTTTCTTTTTTTGTATACTCGTCTCTCTATCATGTTGTCATGTGATGTTTTATTATACTATGTTGTGGCGATGTGATGTTGTTGCGATGTAATGTGATGTTGTAATATGATGTTGTTGCAATGTGGTGTTGTTGTAATGTGATGTTGTTGTAATGTGATGTTGTTGTAATGTGGTGTTGTTGTAATGTTGATGTTGTTGTAATGTGGTGTTGTTGTAATGTGGTGTTGTTGTAGAGATGAGCGATGTTTTGCTTAGCTTCAGCATTGCAAAGCTCAAAGGTCTGGTTCAACTTAACTGAACAAATGAATTAGGTCCATACAATCGTATTACTCTTCAGAGCGATCGAACTCTTCATCCCGACATTCGTGAGTCAGAAGATCTCAGTGACCAACCTGTCACCCCCCAGGGAACATACCACCGTGGCCATCATCAGACCTACCTTGATGAAAACCGATCATCATTGTTTGTTCATTTGTTTGCTTTGTTGCTACGCGTTCGTTAATTCCAATGTTGTAGTCACCAGCGTAATAGTAAGCAACGAAATTTATTTTGCGAGATATCGAATTATAGTTAAGTGTTATATTTATCTGCACGACAAATGGCTTGCTGTCAATAGAATATAACGACCAATGCAACTACGATTGCATGAAGCAAGTGAATCAAGTTTATACATCAGTAGAAAACAAACAAACAAACAAACAGACAAACAAACAAACGAACGAACGAACGAACGAACGAACGAACAAACAAACAATATATGACATGCACACGATAACGTAATGTTTGAATGGTAATCTGTTTCCAGTGAAGTTACTGGCCACTATTCAAGAGCTCGGCTTCAGGACGATCATGAAGAAGGAGGTGGTCGTAACTG